TGCGCCAGGGCCCAGGGTGGCGGGTTGGTGTGGTGAGGCACAGCGGCTGAGGACCAGCTGCCAGCAGCGGGTAGTAGTCGGCGACAGCACCAGCTTGTACGAGCCCGGGTGCTTGAGGCAGAGTGACACTGTCATGTGCACTCCCTGCAGTGATGGCTAGCCTGCCCAAGCCTGACCCTTGGGGACCCCGGGCGCTCTGCTCACGTGTAATTCAGGGGCGTGTTGTCCGACAGCGCGGCCACCGCGTCCATCCACGGCTGCTGCTGCGTGGTGATGCGGTGCTGCAGCAGCGCGAGCTCCCTGGGACCCATGAGGGTGCCCGGGTGGATGAACGGTGCATCGGGCCCCGGCGCATGCAGGCTCGGCCCTCTGTTGGCCGGCACCACATCGCCGGGGCCCACCCGCCGCGCGCGCTCGGCGAGCTCTAGGGGGGCAGACAAGGGTGACGATTGCGTGCGAAAGGTTGTGAACCGTGCAGTATCACTCGGCCGGCCAGCAGCAGTCACTGCGCGCAGCAGCGTGCTGCAAGCGGTGCCGCTTCGCACCTCGGCGCCACGGATTTGGGTGTTGGTGGGAGAAAATAGGGCGTGCTTGTTCGTTACTTCCGCCTGTGTTGGCGCCTCTCCTAAGCAGCAGCGCAGGCTGCTGGAAGTCCTGGACACCCGCGCTCGCGCGTCCTCGCGCGGGCAGGGACGCCCTGACCGCTGCTGACGGAGAGATAGAGAAAATAAGTACCAACAACTGGAATAAAAGGGCCCGCGCCACGGTCGCCAGTGCTGCTATACTGCGAAAGTCGCTCCTCCCTCTTCGTGAATCTCTGCACGCTGAGTACTGTACAGCATGCGTATAAAGGGTGATTGAACTGATTGGACACTAGCGTGAAGCTGAGCTGCACTCCGATGTTTGTCAAGACTGGTATCGAAACCACTCCTGGAAATGGGGGGCACCGGCTGGGGTGGCTAGGATAACGCCGTGATGCTTTGGGCCAGTGTGGGGCCGGGCATGTATGGGTGGGCAAGTCTGCAGCTGTCGACCATTGCGAAAGTCATCCCGTCAGCTCAAATGTATCTTACAAGTGCCACACTCATGTACATTGCAAGGAAAAGGCAGCAGCTGGGCACACTGCGACAGCTGCTGCTTTGGCAGTCAAAGTTTGACCACCGCATCTGGTCCGCTCCTCTCTGCACGATTGCACAAGCTGGATTGTCAGGAAAGTTCAACTCCACACAGTCGACGCAACAGGATCAAGAGATGTTTGCGCCGACCAGGGTCGGGGCGGTGACAGGGCCTGCGCTGGTGAGCATCACCTCTCCCTTGTAGTTTGCAACCCTGCGTGCATGCAAACGAGAGCAGCAAGTTTGCTGTATGCATGTGTACATCAGCATCGCAAACAGTACACGCACAACAATACATCTGGGGTGTGCTATTTTGATGAAAGAGGCAGGGCAGAGGGTGTGTGAGCGCGCGTCTGCGCATGTGTGCATGTTGGCGTACGCGGCTGTGTGTGTGCCGCGCGCAGGGCTCGCAGACCTAACGCTCTCCCTTCCTTTTCGTTTACCCCACCTGTCCGCGTCCGTCTTCAGATCCGGCTGCACCGCCTCCCAGATTTTCTTCTTCTGCACGCGGTTGGGCTCAGCAGGCGCGCCCTGTGGCCGAGCAGCGGCAGCAGCGGCAGCGGCAGCAGTGGCAGCGGCAGCGGCAGCGGCGGCGGCGGCGGCGGCGTCAGCGGCGGTAACGGCGCCTGCAGCGTGGTGGCAGGCGGGGCCGGGTGGCAGGCGGGGCCGTCCCGCAAAGGCTCAAGCCTCCCCGTCCCTCTGCTGTCCCCGGTTGCTGGCTGCTGCATTCTGGAATAGGCATGCCTCCCCCGCCCCTCTGCAACCACCACGGTCCCTTCCTCCCAAAACGCTCGCCCGGCGCATGCGCCCCCCCACCTGCTCCTTGCCACCCTCGCCAAACCACACGCGCTCCCCCACCGCCGCGCCCTCCGGCGGCGCGAGCGGCTCCACCGCGTCGTGCGCGGCGTTGCTGGCACAGAGCAGCATGCCGTGCGACTTAATGCCGCGCATGTTGCGGGCCTTCAGGTTGCAGAGGACGACAACGCGGCGGTCCTGGGTGGGCGGCGATTTGTTGCATGCAACGCGTCGCGTCAGGCGCTCTGTGCTGCCAGGTGTTTCGAGGTGCCGCCTTGAGGCTGCAGCCAACCTCCGGGCATGTGAGACCCCGTCCTGCCCGGCCCTCTCCTGTTACCCCGCGCCGGTGCCTCATGGATCAAGAATCCGCCCGCGCGGCATGCTCACCTGCATCTCCTCTAGCGGCACGAACTGCACCAGTCCCGACACGATCGTGCGCATCTCTGACTCCCCAACATCGACCTCCTCCACAAACAGGCTGTCCGCATCGGGGTGGCGCTCGCACTTGGCCACGCGCCCTATCCGGATGTCGAGCGCGGCTGCCGGGCTTGCGGGGGCTGCTGCTACCTCATCAGCCGCCGCGGCGTCGGCAGTGGCAGCTGAGTATGTGAGGCGTGGGCAGAAAGCCACGGGCACGTCAGGTGCACAGCAGAGGTTGTGCCAATGAGAGGCCAACCAATCCCTCCTGTGCCTTGACCGAACAGGAACGTATGACGACATGTTGCCCCATGCAGGTCGTGAACAGGGTCATGCATGCACATGCCTGAAGCAGACGAGTGAACAAGCACGCATTTGCACCTGCTGCGTCGGTGCTCGCCGCCATCAGCCGCGCCCAGCGCTCATGCTGCCATTTAGCCGCTGCAATTGCGGTGCTGCTATGACCTACATGCCCTACTCGATGGGCAAAGCTACGCTGAGCGATGCCTGATGTGCGCAAAAGATTAGATCTGCACGCCATGTTTGCTCCGCCGCAACCGTCTCACACGTTGATACGACTAATACACATTTTCTATGCACACATCCAACACGGCTGCTCTTGACCTGCAAGCAGTGTGGTCAATGCCTCTTCATCTCCTGAGACTGTGATTGCGCGTGTGGGCTCAGCTGCAGTTCGAACCGAAAATCCAAACCTGGCATTGCACAGAGACGCGTGGTCAGCTCTCTCCTATGCAACCGTGACGCCCCTTTCCCTCTCATCTGTGTGTGCCCCCCCTCCCTGCTCACACAATTGCGGGGTTGCTCAAGCGGCTCTGCCTGCTGGACTGCACACAGGTGAGGCGCAGTGCAGGCGAAAGCGCGCAAGGGTACCACGGGTATCATCGACTCAAGACGGTTCCGAGAGTTACATTCTGAGGGCTGCATGAATGCGGCTGGGGTCCCTGTTGTTTTGGGGCTGCGATGCGTGTGTCCCCGCTGCAAAACAACCATGGACAGGCCGCTCCGTCAATGTACATGCAGACGGCGGTGCCTGAAGAGTAGGTTTGATTGGCAGGCGTACTGTGTTCGCTTGGTATCCATGCAACCCGGCTGTAGCACCATGAAGAAGGCTGTTGAAGAGACAGAACAAATGTAGGTGGGTAGTGCGGCACGCGGGCGTCGTCCTTGACGCAATGAAGTCCCGTCTCAAGAAATTGCGCGCAATAAGCCCAGAGGGGATGCCAACGCTTTCTTCCATGCACTGCCAAAAGGGTAGCTGGCAACAAGGGAGGCAGCAAGGGGATGCCGGCGATCTCTGGGGCGGATGGGGCCGCGCACGCCCAAAAGCACGCACACTTTAAGTGCGACCACTGCCGCCCGTTGTGAAGGCATGCAGCTGCTGCAAGCACGTGAAGCCGACCAGGCAGCGAGTGCGGGTTGAATTGAAGACTGTCAAGATTCCAAGATGCGCCTCGCGTGACAGCGTGACGATGAGCACTGCGAAATCGCCCTTTCCACAGCAGTGCGGGCGCGTGTCTCTTGCAGGGTCAGGGATGTGGCTATTAGAAAGATGGCACCTAGCCATACAGCCGGCAGAAACTACACGAGATACGGTTTCCCTAGATAAGAAAGGCAAAGTGAGGCAGCTGCGCAGGGTACGTGCGACAGACCCAGCTGTGCGGCAAGGAAGGGGTGTGACAAAACAAGGCAACCCACAAAGGGTGAGAGCGCCCAATTCAAGGTTTCAGGGCCAAGAGAAGGTCATCACCGTCGTCGTT